GGTCTTGTCACAAAAAATACACATGTGAAATATGAAGTCATAGCTCCACTAAATCAAAAGCTATTGGCAGTATTAAAGTTTTTGCGTACAAACAGACAAACAGACAGAGAGACACAAAGAGAGAGAAAGAGAGAGATGTCAATGATAGCATTTAAGAAATAAGGTATCATTTTTTGAGTGTTATTGGGATGTAAAACGGGTTGGTCACGTGATCAAATTCCATAAAGCCCGAAGGGCTTTATGGAAGATTTGATCATGTGCCAACCCGTTTTACATCCCAATAACACTCAAAAAATGATACCTTATTACTTATATTTACATTTGTGACTTATTCATACTTTAAACTTGCCTGATTGTGACTTTTAACGTGTGAAATGCATTGTTTTTCAAACCCAACGGCATGTATGTAATCCACTGACCGCGCGTCGACCCTTTATGACGTCACAGAGAAATTACGTCGAACGTTTATCCATACGAACATCTATGACCTCTTGACCACGTACCTGTATTTATACAGTTATAAAAACGCTTGCTTTCAGAAGTGCTATATAAAGGAAAACATTTGCAAATGTAAATATTTAAGGAATATAGCTTATTTTAACATACATGTATGGTATACACTATACATAGGCGTCAGAGAGAGAGAGGGGGGGGGGGGGGGGGTAGCCCTACCCCTACCACTTTCTTTTTGCAAAAATACTGAAAATAGACATTATATAGGCATTGAAAATTGGGATATACCTTTTTTGTTGGTATACCCCCACTTTCGAATAGCCCCCCCCCCCCACACACACAAACACACTTTCAATTTCCATCCGACACCAATGTTGTAACATAAATTGGGGCAGTTTAACGTTATACGTATAACATAGGTTTAAAAAGCTTCAATCCTTTTATTTTTTATTTCAGTGTAGACAATAAAACATTTTTCCTCCCAAAACAATGGCTTCGAATTGAACTTTAAAAGTAGCATCAAGGGGAGCAATATGTTTTCGACCTAACATATCGTGAGTTAGGCAACCTATAGGATGTAAAAAGATCTTTTATCCAATCATATGGCATGTTAAATTAAATAATTTATGCTTGGTTTTCTGGAGATGCATATTCAACGACTTTCTTCTTTTTCTTCCTTTTTCCGGCAGGAGCAATCATATGTTTTCATATTCGCTTCAGAAAAAAGAGAAAGTACCTTTAATTTCTAAGATCTTCATAGACAACAAATTTAAGAGTTAATGACCGCTCCCCTTTTCCGTCATTTACATTTTAACCATTCGGAAGGTGAGTCGTTATGTCATCTACCTGTAACAATCCAGCTCAATAGGGATACTGCTACAATCGGAAGGCCTCTTGACATTATGTTGAAATAAATGCATTGGGTATTTCTACAAAAGTAAATAAATAATTAAATGCCGGGGAGGACATTTCTTCTACTGTCTTTGAAAGAAGAAAAATTAAAACAGCATAATTTTTGTGTAACCCTCCTAATGATATGTCATATAGAGAGGGTTGATGTTTATTGTTTAATAAGACGCCCGTGTGGAGCATTGGTTAGAGTGTCTGCTGTAGAGTCGCCCGCGTGGTGCAGTGGTTAGAGTGTCTGAAGTAGAGTCGTTCGCGTGGTGCAGTGGTTAGAGCGTCTGCTATAAAGTCGTCCGTGTGGTGCAGTGGTTAGAGCGTCTGCTGCAGAGTTGTCCACGTGGTGCAGTGGTTAGAGCGTCTGCTATAGAGTCGTCCGTGTGGTGCAGTGGTTAGAGCATCTGCTGTAATGTCGCCCACTTGGAGACATGGTAAAAGCGTCTGCCGTAGAGTCGTCCGCGTGGTGCAGTGGTTAGAGTGTTTGCTGTAGAGTCACCCGCGTGATGCAGTGGTTAGAGCGTCTGCTGTAGAGTCGCCCGCGTGGTGCAGTGGTAAGAGCGTCTGCTATAGAGTCCTTCGTGTGGTGCAGTGGTTAGAGCGTCTGCTTTAGAGTCGTCCGCGTGATGCAGTGGTTAGAGTGTTTCCTGTAGAGTTGTCCGTTGGTGCAGTGGTTAGAGCGTCTGCTGTAGAGTCGTCTGTGTGGTGCAGTGGTTAGAGCGTCAGCTTAGAGTCACCCGCGTGGTGCAGTGGTTAGAATGTCTGCTGTAGAGCCACCTACGTCACACAGTGGTTAGAGCGTCTGCTGTAGAGTTGTCCCTGTGGTGCAGTGATTAGAGCGTCTACTGTTATGTTGCCCGTGTGGTGCCGTGGTAAAAGCGTCTGCTATAGAGTCGTCCGTGTGGTGCAGTGGTAAGAAAGTCTGCTATAGTGTCGTCGTGGTGCAGTGGTTAGAGCGTCTGCTATAGAGTCGTCCGTGTAGTGCAGTGGTTAGAGCGTCTGCTGTAGAGTTGTCCGTGTGGTGCAGTGGTTAGAGTGTTTGCTGTAGAGTTGTCCGTGTGGTGCAGTGGTTAGAGCGTTTGCTGTAGAGTCATCCGTGTAGAGCAGTGGTTAGAGCGTCTGCTGTAGAGTCGTCCGCGTGGTGCAGTGGTTAGATCGTCTGCTGTAGAGACGCCTGCGTCACACAGTGGTTAGAGCGTCTGCTGTAGGGTCGTCCGCGTGGTGCAGTGGTTAGAGCGTCTGCTGTAATGTCGTCCGCGTGGTGCAGTGGTTAGTGCGTCTGCTTTAAAGTCGCCTGCGTGGTGCAGTAGTTAGAGCGTCTGCTGTAGATTCGTCCGTGTGGTGCAGTGGTTAGAGCGTCTGCTATAGAGTCGTCCGTGTGGTGCAGTGGTTAGAGTGTCTGCTGTAGAGTCGTCCGCGTGGTGCAGTGGTTAGAGCGACAGCTGTAAAGTCATCCGCTTGGTGCAGTGGTTAGAGTGTCTTTTATAGAGTCGTCCGCGTGGTGCAGTGGTTAGAGTGTCTGCTGTAGAGCCGCCCGCGTGGTGCAGTGGTTAGAGCGTCTGTTGTAGAGACGGCCGCCTGGTGCAGTGGTTAGTGTGTCTGCTGTAGAGTCGTCCGCGTGGTGCAGTGGTTAGAGCGTCTGTTGTAGAGACGGCCGAGTGGTGCAGTGGTTAGAGCGTCTGTTGTAGAGTCGTCCGCGTGGGGCAGTGGTTAGAGAGTCTGCTGTAGAGTCGCCTGCGTCACACAGTGGTTAGAGCGTCTGCTGTATAGTCGTCCGCGTGGTGCAGTTGTTACGCAGGTACGATAAGGCTTCCCAGAGAATATTGCAGTGTACTCTGTGCATGCACTTCTCTGAACTACAAATGTATGACGTCATAATTGAAAATGACGTCAAGTCACTGCATATTTGAGCTGTAAAGATGGGGAGAGTGTCATAAATTTTACGCCTTGTTTCAATCTGCATAAAAGGATGCAGAATGCTAGTTTAAGATAAACGTATTTTAATCATTTTTTTTTTCAAAAATTTAATATAGCCAAAAAAATAGATAACTTTGCTTAATTACTCTTGTTTAAGAGTCAGCGTGTTCAAACTACATACGAAAATATACGTTTGACATTTACCCTTTTTTAAGCCCGTGGACAGAGACAGAATTCATAATATGTGTATAAAAGAGCCTGGTGCAGGTTGTTAATGAGGATTTATTTAATATCTTTTGTGGAAATATGTAAGAGGAGTTTCCCCTCTAACTGAATCCTGCTTGGGAAAATGTATTATGGCTTTGTTTTAAAACAGATGAAGATATTCAGCGGAAAATACCCTCAGATTTGTTGGTAAGTTGAAGTTAATGTGAAATAAATTGTCCCAAAGAAATAGTATAACTTTTCCCAAGCACATTTCGGGTTCACAAGGATCCAATGAGTTTATTTATGTGACAAAAAGTTAATAATAATTGTGTTAATAACCTGCGCCGAAGCGATTTATGTGAAACATTCCAAAAAATAAGAAATGACCGTCACATGATCAACAAGGTCATGTGATATCGTTACAAATATGTTTATATATAGCTTAGAGAACTCTCTGTATGAATTGGGCGTACTTAAGTACATAACTTTAAAACAAGTTAAATTGATGCAAAGCATCAAATCGGCCGCAAACAATTTAGCAGTAAAAAAAATTCTTTCACATGCAAGGCAGGGGCGTAGCTAGACGGAAATGATGTGCACGCCAAAAAAGGCAGGGTGTCTGGGGGAAGCCCTGGTGGGGGCCCATGGGGCGAAGCCCCCGGAAGCTCCTCGGTTTTCACGTTTAGACGGACAAAATTTACGGTATTTTTAAATATATAACGTATGCTACGAGATGAAGTTAACTTCGCGATATTTTGATTTATGACAACCAAAAAATAATAGATCTATTAATATTTAAAAAATATTTATGTTTTTTTTTAAATAAAATCAAGTGCATTGTATGAATTTTTGTTTTTACTTTAAAAAGGTATTTTTAGTTCCATTTTTTGTCTAATTTTTAAATAATGAAAATAAAACAAAACAATTTTAATCCAGCAAATTTAATTTCCCCAAAACGTGCGGCGTCATGTTTCGTGTTTTATCGTTTAGCCTTGACCTAAAATTCTCCAAAATCCATTTTTCTGGATTTAGCATTAACAAATAGTCCCATTGCTTTTTCTATATCAATTTTAAAATCTCTGTGAATATGGAGAAGTCCAAGCCATAACAATCTGTCATTTCTCATAGTGGAACGGATGTACGTTTTCAGTCGCCGCAAAACGCTGAAGGACCTCTCCGCAGTTGCGCTTCCTACCGGCATGGTTAGCAATATGAATAAAATGGACTCTATTGTTGGATATAGCGCTGAATTAATAGAATCTAATGTACTGCAAAGTGTGCGCGGTTTCTCATCTTGCGCCGTCAATCCCCATCTTGTGCGCCAACGGGCAACTTCTCTCCTAAACTCTTCCAAAGACAATATGATATCGTCCTGAAAGGCATTGTATATGGCTGCAATATGTTCATTGGTAATATTTTCTAAATATATATGGGAAGAAGGTGTTGTGCCATGAAGCGATCCTCGGATTTAAGTAGTCGCGAATCGAGTTCCATAATAACGTGATCCACAAATGGATAATACAATGAAATGCGCCAATGCTGTCGGGGAGTATCAGCTGGGTGATTGGCTCTCCCTGTCTGTCTTCTACACTGTCTTGGCATACTTTCATCCACTTGTAGCGGTACATGTACATGTAAATCCGGATTAACTATAGCATGGTTGATTAGGTATTACATATATAACGTTAGGCCTGCAGGCATAGTAAGTTTACACGGAATCTTTTAGGAATTGAATTTTTTATATGACGATATAATCATTTTTTTAATAATAAATTTTATAAAAATGCACAGTAATTTTTTTTTTTTGGACTAAAAGATGTGCACGCCATGGCGTGCTGGCGTATAGGCAGCTACGCCCCTGCAAGGAAAGCACGTCAAGATATTCAAAGGAGAAATGGTTGAATCTTTTTTTTCAGACTATCTTTAAAGCAAAGTAACTTTTTTTTTTTAGAAAATTAATTAATAGACATTTTACCGCATTTGCTCATAGATTCATCGACGTAAAAAAATAAGACAATGATGGAATGATAAGTAAATGATGATGTAGGTATCCCAAGATAAACCACGAGCTGATATACCCTAGATCTTTGTCACGTGATAATGCCCATGGCTGCGGTGCAAAATTTAGGGAAAATATCTTTGCAGCTTTAGAGCATATTCAAAACAATAATGTTACTGAAATGAATATTCACCATGAACTTTTATCACGTCAACATTTTCCGGAAAATCATGACGATTTCCTTTCACATCTTACACACTCCCAGACCGGGGAGTATCTATTGTACACTCTTTTTATAGTACCATAAATTATCAATTATCTGACGAGAAATGATAATGAAATTGAAATATAATAACAACAATTAATGTTAATTTTAAAGGAAGTTTTTAAAAAATATTTTACTCATGATTTTTACTTTTTATCAATCAAGAATTGTTTAACTGAACTAATGAAAAATAACGACTCATTTCCCCATGTGCACTTTCTAACACAACCACAAATAGATCGGCCGCTGCTGCGGCCGATAATAAAACTTAAAATCAACTTTGCAATGCACTGTTACGTTTTAAATGCATTTTTAGCTTCAGGAAGCCTTAACAGTACTGCGTAGAGTGTCTGTTATAAAGTCGTCCGCGTGGTGCAGTGGTTAGTGTGTCTGCTGTAGAGTCGTCCGCGTGGAACAGTGGTAAGAGCATCTGCTGTAATGGTTGGGGGTGGACGGTATGTGGTTTATTTTAAAATTAAAAGTATTTAACATAACACACCTTGTTTTGGTGGTTTTAAGGATTGTAGGATTGTATTGTAGTTTATATCATAACCTATGGATCCTATGAATGTCCGAAACAATAAATTGAATTGTTATGCATGTTAATTTTTAAAGGCAATTCAGAAAAGAGTAGACAGATCCGTGATCTTTGACAGGAACTGGTCGGATTATAAGAATGGTTTTGGTTCACCGGAACAGAAGGTTTGGATTGGTAAGTGTAAATCGATTTCAAATAAGAACTTTTTATTCCTTTAAAGTTTGAAGATGAAAATATTCTTGTGGCAGGTAAAAAATTATGAAGCTTAAAAAAGATCTAACTTTAAGACTAATTAATGTGTGTTCTACGATATTTAGATATCGAGTTTAATTGATATCTCAAATAATTTTTTTTGAAAATAGAAAATAAGACTATCATCTAGCGGCATATTCTAATGAGATCAAATATAGCATTATTGTCTACACTATGAAAAAAATTGGATTTTTCATTACGGCAGATTCATATAGATTTTAAAAGAATTAATTGTATGCGATGAACTTTTCCGATGATTTCAGATATATCTTAATACAGGAAATGACGTAATCCATCAATTAACAAAAGAAAACTCATCATCCCTTTGTGTATCCATTACTCATATGAATGGTACAACTCTATATGAAATGTAGTATGGGTTGAATGTCTCCGGCGAAGCAGGGAAATATCAACTCTTTCTTACAGGATCTGCCGAAGGGAACCTTAGGTAATTGTATTCATATTAAGTTCTTAAAATCTGGTTCAAATTACATATATTATCATAATTATACTTTTCTGCATTAAAATATTAAGTTGTAAAATAAAGAGAAAGACACGTTTTTTCATATATTCTGTAAACGTTTTCGATTCCATGCTAATTAAACATTTTAATATTTCATTTGTAGGTACAATTCACGTATTCAGCAGACATTGAATTTTGTTATTTTCAAGTAGTTAGAATTTCAAATTATATACTTTATGTACAGGGAAAATTATGTAATTATTTTAAACAAACAAATCCAGTAATAACATTCGCTCAACCATTATCATTCAGCTTTGGTTTCCTGATAATTTTTTGATAATTCACATTTTAACTACTACGGAGAAAGAAGTTTACAGACTTTAAATGATATATTTTGTCAACATATTCACAAAAATTGATGTTAAAAGATTTTAGAAAAGACAAATTCAAAATACCGCAACGTGTTTCATATCTACTATACCTTTTCTCTATTAAATGAAAATTTGGTCTAATCTTCAATAATTCACATTTTAAATACTACGGAATAGGAAGATTACATAGCGTTATTAATCGTAAATGTCGAAAAGTTTACGAAAATTTAATGATGAAAAAAAACTATCTTAGATTTATTCAAACAAAAAAAGTTTAATAATCCATATTCAAAACACCTCAACGCGTTTCACATTTACAATACCAATTCTTAAGTGAACGAAAATCTAATATTTTAAAACATTTACATGTAAACAATATCTGATATCGTTATAATTATGAATGAGTCACTACGTATTGCATTTCATACATTTTTTAAAGCATGGTCTCTGACATATATGAATATTTCATTTATTAATATTTTCAATAACCGTAACCCCCCCCCCCCCAAAAAAAAATACATGTACCATGCTTTAAAGGTGTAATACACCTTTTGTTCATTGGTACACTAGAAAGGATGCTATGTAAATTGTACAGTGTTTTGTTGACTTGTATTTTGCAATCTCTCTTTACAGGGAACAACACGTTAAACTATGTATCTCTGACGTACTTCAGTATTAAGATTAATGTGATTTAAATAAGAATTCAATAATCAATAATCATTATCTCTGTTATATATTTTATCTTATTCTGCAGGTACCAGTGTGATAGATGCCGGGGATTCGAGGACTGAACGCAATAAATATTATTACTCTTTGTAGCTCCTAAAGCCGTCTTAGAAGTACCTCAGTATTAATGATAATTAGATTAATTAAGAAATGAAGCTAATTTCAACTTATGTTATACGATATAACATAACTTGGGGCAGTTTACGCTTTATAAACCGCGAAGCGGTTTATAAAAAAGCGTAAACTGCCCCAAGTTTTGTTATATCGTATAACATAAGTTGAAATTAGCTTCATTCCTTATAATTTAATTTCAGTATAGACAATAAGACAATTTTTCCTCCAGAATAAGGCTTCAAATTGTGCATTATTTTAAAAGTAACATCAAGCGGAGTAATACGTTTTTGACGTAATTCATTGTGACGTAGGCAAGTTATGTTATCCATATATGTTCCTCTGAATGATTCAGCCAATGAAATAGCTTGATACAAGTGAAATTAAATTATAAATATATATAAATCAATTATCTCTGTGATTCCTTTTGCTAAATTTTACAGGTGAAAGTATGTTAAACACTAGTTATATTTACTACGATCTGTCTGGGATGTCCTTCTCCAACCCGGACAGGGATAAAGACAGATTGACTCGTGTTTATTTATATTGTTATATAATTGTATTTCAGGAGACAGCATGCGAAGCGTTCATGGCCTTATGTCATTCTCCGCCCCAGACAGAGATAATGACAGACTTGGTGGTAACTGTGCTGCCCAGAGTAACATTACAGGAGAGTGGTGGTTTCACCATTGTCACGTCGCCTTCCTTAATGGTCACTGATCCCCGGACTCCTGGTCTATGCCATGGTATCCCACAGTACAGAGTGTACATCAGTGAGGGGGACCACCATGATGGTCGGACGTCACTAGGTAAACCTCATTTAATATCAATGACCATTTTTTTATATTACTGTGAAAATTTCAGTTATATTTTTTTTATATAGAAAACATTTGCTATTATATAAGAAATAAACAACGCTATTTAGTGAACATGGCGTTATGAATAGCAATTGCTCTGCTGGCATATTCCATGATGCGCGCTAGCGCATCATGGAAAATATGCCAGCAGAGCTATTGCTATTCATTACGCCATGTTCACTAAATAATCGTTGTTTATTACTTATATTTGCATTCTTTGATGTTGACAAGAATATCAGAGGAAATCCTGACTTAAATAAGGACGCAGCTTCTTCTGTCTTCAGTAAAGAAAACCATACCGCTTTAAAATCAATACACCTGATCAATACTCTTTTTCTCTAATAAATCACAATTTATGAAGTATTTCCCTCTCAAACACAGTTATCTGGATACAAGCAGCGCCGTCATCACATTCTCTTAATTTTTGTTTTGATGCAGTCGTGACGTCATCGATCAACGTTATTGAAATCCTCTGACAAAAATCAATAATTTAACACTATGACAAAAATGAGAATGCTTTTATTATGATTATTACTCCAGTATGCTTTTCTGTGATTTTTTTGGTACTTTTTCTATTTATTTTTTCTTGAAATAGATACAGATCTACTAGTTAAAGAAATTTTCTCTTTTTGAATGCTATTAACCCAAGTTTGAAGAGTTATCGTTCTTTGTACAAGTATGCATGATACGAAAAAATAAAAATATGGAGTTCTATTCAATTTTTTAAGGGTTTTATTTTACAATTAAATACTTTGACCAAAATCAAATTTTTAAAGATATCAAACGGCAATTTCAAATTGTTCTGAATTCCTTTTTTTCCAAAAAATATTATTAAAAACTTATATTTAGTCCTTTTACGAAACAATTCATATATATACTTCTCAACACGACATATAGGTGTAGTGGAGATTGTTCTACACGAGTGAGATAGCGCACTTGTACTCATAGTGGAAGCAGTTGCGTCTATAGTCCTATGAACGCAGTGGATGGTTACATGTTCATAGTGGGAGAGAGCAGTGGATATGCAAATATACCTCTATATGTGAAGTATTAATTCATTTTTTTTTACAGACGAAAGATCATCCATGGATTATGCAAACCCTCAAGAGACGATTTTAAATCAATTTTTATCACTGAGTTCTTTTTTTTTCAATATTTAACATCAAGTTAAAAACATGTAAACAAATGTGTTTTCGGTAAAGGAAGGGGGTTGAACTCTTCTGTTTTAGCGATACTGAATGTATTCAGTAAAAGGTGTACTTTACATGTGTTGAAATAAATTTGAAATTAGAAATATTTCGTT